GCCGGTGGGCGGTGTGAGAGGCCAGCCGGGAGCCGCCGTAGGCCTGGTGGTGGTGGTGATGGTGGTGGTGGCCTGAGGACTGACTGATGTGGTGGTGCGGGTGCCCTGACATGGAGGAGGCCGTCATGGGGCTGAGTTGGTGGGGGTGGTGGTGGGAGTGCATGGGGGCCAAATAGGATCCACAGTCCATGCCACTGAAGTAGGAGCTGGACGGAGCGGGGTAGCCCTGACCGTAGCCCGGCGTCTGGTTGTAGGACATGGGGTAGGAGGTGGCGGTCGCCGCCGAGCCCGACATGGACCTCTGCATGCAGGAGGCGTTGGACGGGGGTCCGGGCTCAGGGAGCGGGGCCACGGCCGGGGCCGGGGCGTTTCCCGGTGAGATGGCTGGGCTCCAGATGGAGGAGACGGTGCTGATGGAGGTAGAGGTGCTGCTGCTGAGCGCCGCCGGGCCCGTGTGGTTGGTGGAGGAGGACGAGGAGGAGGACGAGCCGGTGCTGGACACCGCGGGCGGCGTGAACTGACCGCTGCTCTCTGAGCCCGTGCTCTCCCGGGCCGGCGAGGACTTCTTCTTGGGCGGCCTGGCTTTGGCGCTGCTGCCGCTCTGCTGCTGCTGGCGACACTTGGCCCTGCGGTTCTTGAACCACACCTACGGCGGGGAGAGACAAAAGGCAGGAGTTAACAAAACAGTCGCAGCGGCAACAAGGAAGGAAGGAAAAAAACCGTGATCCACTCCCAGTCGGAGCGAGTCCAGAGAACATTACAGGAGAAAATTGGAGGTTATTAAGCGTCCAGGTTCATTTCCACACCGGCCCCTTGGTTTGGACCAGTCAGGGTCTAATTTCATACCCGGTAGACGGCTCTAAGATAACAGGCTATTGGGTTTCACCACACACTGGGGTAACTCTAGAGCACCAAGAGGGTAGGATCATGTAGAGCATTTTGTTTCACACACACATTCTGAGAATAACTCAAATCGTGTGTGTGTGTGAGGCAGCAAAACTCAGAGAGAGAGAGAGAGAGAGAGAGAGAGAGGGCTGCCTTGGTTTATTTCTTCTTCTTCTTCTTCTTCTTCCCCCCTGAATGCCTTGAAGACTAGTATTTGTCCAACATTGTGGTGCAGTGGTGAGATATTTTGTCAAGTATTTACAGAGGTTCTGAACACAGATCCCAGCTCTGAGCTCAGGTTACGGCAGCAGACATTTAGGCTGCATCAAATAGTCATGAATTAATGAGGTGAAGAGGATGAAAACTAAGATTTTTCAATAGCTCGTCCTAAATGGAGCCGTGTTTACGTCACTACGTACAGGCCGATTGTCTTGCACGGATGTGCACGGAGTGTCAGTGACTGCAGGCCACGTTAACCAGAGCGGTGAGTCCGACCTGTTCGAAATCACAATCAACCACGACACTCCAACACGAAACCAACTTCTTCTAAGTGGCTCTGAAAACTGACAGACGACAACGACGGACTGACGGACGGCCTTAATCCGGCCGTAATCTCACCACCATGCTGCGAAAATAATCCACACATGGATTATTGGTGTTAAATTTCAGTTGGATTCTACAGAATTTAAATCTCTGTGGGATTTGTTTTTTAATATTATTAGAAGTTGTGTGTGTTTTTTTTAGAAATCTAGATTTAGATTTTTGTCCATGAAAGTTTAACTGACTTTTTTTTGCTTCAGATTAAATTGTCATAATTTGAAAGATTAAAAATATAATTGCGCTTTTTCTTTGATCTTATGTTAATTCTTAATTTAGAATTTGTTTTCTGGGTAAAGAAAAATCAGAGCTTCAAAATTATTCTTCAGAAATCTGAATTTTTAATCTGCATCCAGAGATTAAGGCGAGTCTTTAACCTCTGAGTCACAGTTTACAGAAAAAAAATCTCATATATAAGTTTATTAAAAAAGTCTAAACTTTGACCTTTGAATTTGAATTTTAGAATTTTTTTTACTGTAGAATTATATGTATAATCTGAATTCAAAACTTGGTGGGTGTGTGTGTGTGTGTGTGTGTGTTTCTTTATGGACTTCGATGCGTAAGAAAGTCTAAACTTTAATTTTCATGTAGAAAATGTGTAATTAATAATTAATAATTTTCTCATAATAAAAAAAATAAAAGAGAGAATTTTGTTTTTATTTCAGATGACCATTCCTTGGCCACCTGTGGTTTAGTTTGTTTTTTTCCCCACTCCGGTCGCGGAGGTGGAATAATCCCGTAGTTTTAAAAACACTGGTCGGTACAGAAGGTTAAAAACAAAAAACAAAACAAACAAAAAACAAACATCTGTGGCTGGGTCCTCACCTGAACTCTGGACTCCGGCAGGTTGATCTTCAGCGCCACCTCTTCCCTCATGAAGATGTCCGGGTACCGGGTCTTGGCGAACAGCGCCTCCAGAACATCGAGCTGTGAGCGGGTGAAAGTAGTGCGCTCCCTCCGCTGCTTCCGAGGAGTCGCTGCGGAGCAGGAGGAGAAAAGTCAGTCGTTTATTACAACTGCTGAAATTCATTCTTTTCCAATAAATGATCACTTTTGGTCCACGATCCATTTAAATAAAACAACCGTTTCCGGTTCTTTCTTTTGTTTTGATGTCAGCTACAGCATCAACATAACGAATAAAAATGAAAAAATAAATATTAAAACAAAAAAAGAATTTACTTCACTAAATGCAACCCATCGTTTTATATATTCAAAGTTTTTAAACTGAATACAGTCACTTCATAAACCGTTTATGATCGTGACATAAACAAACCAAATCTCATTAAACAAAGTGTCGTTTTTTTATTTACTTCTGGATTTTAAATCAATTAAAGCACTGACGGGGGATTTTTCTTGGTTGTCGAGTAAATATAACCTGTATTTTCAATTCGGTTTATTGCATATAATATATATATATGTATAAAGGTTTGGCTAAACTAAAATCAATAGTGTTGTCATGACGACTTACAATCTACTTTTCTTGTTTATATTTCATATAGACATTGATATTTTTGTTCCAGTTACAAAACCTTACAATAAAGTTCACGTAAATAACTTTAATCTGGTTTGCAGTTTACATTTTAAATAACTACTTTCAATTAAACGGTCTTAAATGGTAAAAAAAAAAGTTGACCTTCTGTTTAAAGTATATTTTGAACAAAAACTACAGTTACAAATGAGTTCCAGTTTAATCTAAGTTTGTCATATTTTTCTTACATATTTACAAATGTAACCTGCTCGTTTTTAAAAATCAAATATTAAATATACATTTTCAACAATAAAGTAAATGCAGTAGTATTTTGTTTCGTAAATTAAATGTGTTAAATTAAATGTTTGATGTGACAAAGAACACGATCCAGTAACATTAAAATACTGAGTTTATACCGGAAGATAAAACCGACAGTTATTTCGTGTCTTTTCTGACCAACCAACAGGTGTAGATGTTCACACCAGTCAGATCCTGGATGTTAATTTAAATCAAACACATCATTAATTATGAACACGTTTGTCTCCTGTTCAAACAGGTTTGTTGGTTTTGTTTGTTTGTGTTTTTGTGTGTTGTGTAAACAGA